ACTTTTTTTAAAAAAAAAAAAAAAAAAAAAAACTAAACTGTTACGTTTAACAAATAACTACCACCGAATCGAAACCCATGGCAATGACTATGAGTCCAGTCATTCCACTGAAAGCAATTTTTGACGGCGGGCCGGTCCATCATTCTCTTTGAAAAATTTTGAAATTCGGGCCAAATTTTAGGCCCTTTAGGGGCAAAAGGCTCAAATGGATCTACTAATGCATATCCCCTTGCAGTGGAAAGAAGCATTTGAAAATGCTTTGTATCCTATTTTGGTGCAAACTATTTCAATGATTTTGTTTATCCTATGACTTCAAGGTTTTCAGCTGTGGAAAGAAGCATTTGAAAATACTTTGTATCCTTAGGTAATTGAATTTTTATTGCTTCATGATATATACATCTCCTTTTTTCCTATAAGTACACCTCCTTTTAAAAAAAATAATTAAAAATTTTAAAATATTTTTTAATTTTTTGTTTTAAATTTTTTAATTTTACATCCACAACATTTAATTTAGTATTTTTTTTTCACACATCTTTCCTTCTTTTTTCAATTTTTTATATACCTTCTTATTTTTCCTTCACCCCACCTATTTTAGTAACATGTGAAAATTGAAAAAGAGAAAAAAAAAAGTGTGTGAATAAAAAGAAAAAAGTAACAAATTGAAAGTTGAAAGTGTAAAATTAATTTTTTTAAAAAAAAATTATAATATTTTATAATTTTTTTTTAAAAGGAGGTGTACTTATAAAAAAAAAATGTATATATCATAAGCCTTTTTATTTTATAAAAAAAAGGATAGTAACAAATGTTACAAACCCAACTTATTTGAGTTTTGGGCTTTTTAATAAAATAACCGTGATGTGTATCTCATCATACCTTCGTCATATTGAAACTTGAAATTTTAAGGTTACACACACCGTTGGATTTTATTTTATTTCTTTGAAGGGACCACGTAATTTATTAAATCGGATTAAGAGTTACATCATGAGAAGTAAAGACTTTCAAGGTGACTTATCATGCTAACAAAAACATTCATTCATTTATTATTTATCAGTTAGGTAAATAAATTCATTCAATTTATTCATTACAATAAAAATAAATAATTAATAAGATTTAATTTATTTATTTAATTTTATGAATAGTTAAAAATTTATTTACTACTTCTTTAAAACTTTATTATACTGAAATTAAAAAAAATTATATAAAAATGTAATAATTTATAAAAATATTTTAAAAATAAAAATCATTAACTTTTTAAAAATTATTTTTAAGGATAGATTGAATATTCATTCATAAAAAAATATTAATAAATGAATTAAATGAATTCTTTTTACTTTAAATGGATTAAATTGATTGAATTTTTATTTAAAATTCTAAAAAAATATAGATTAATAAATTAATTTTTCCTAATTCATTCTTATCTGCCAAAAAAAAAATCCGATCTATTCTTTTCACCCCTAATTATTATCCAGCCATATATAACCTCTTGAAAATAATATTTATTAAATTCATTAAAAATGATCATAAATACTACAAGTCCAAATATTTAATACTTTAAAAAGTTCTTACGATAATTTTAAATTACTTTTGTTTTAATTTATCTTGACTATGTATGATTAATATTTATTGTCGTATTTACTATTTTCAATTAATTGTAAAGGAAAAAAATTGATAATTTTTAGGGTCATATGTTTTTCCTTTTAAATATTTAACACAACATACCTATAACTCAAATTCAAGAGAATTGATTAAATTGAAATAAGTTTCTTACCAGTTGATTGAGCTATTAAAAAATTATTTCAAACTAAGCTATTAGAAAACTAAATTGAATGAACTATAAAAAATAGTCAATTATTTTTTATAAAAAAACTAAATTGAATTTAAGTTCAGTTATAAAAACTAAATTACTATTAAAATCAGTTTCATTTAGTTCAAATCACAACAAAAAAATTGATTTATAATGAAAAATAATTTAATTCAATACAAAATATAATTTACGTAGATGAAACATCTGACTAGTGGTTAAAAAAAAGCCGTGACATTTTTGTTGAACACTCAACCAGTCCTTTTCTTTTCTGTTCAATAAACCATAGTATATCTGTATATATGTCCAAGCAAATATAAAGTCATTACTTAGCAGTTACTCAGGTGCTGAAATACATAAAAAGAATCCTTGGACTGGGATTATTTTGTCAACCATGCTTAATGATCCTATCGACCAAGAAAAATGACAAATGCGTTTCACAAGTCAGGCCAAGCAAAAGTATAAAATGTTAAATAAAGTATCCTCTCATGAGGAGTGATTTCGACACGTATTAGTTTATTGAATCAAACTAATTGGATTTTATTTGAGTTAAACCAACACTTTAGAAACTTAAAAAGCGCAACTGATCATCTAAAATGCAAGTTTAAATGAACAAAAGAGTTTGAAGGCACGTGAATAACATAGTTAAAACGTAGAAATCAATAAATAACAAAAATAGCTAGAGCATATAGACTTCTCCAATTGTCTGATAAATGAACTCCCAAATATTAGTTCAAGCAATATCTTATAATTTAAGACAAATTTCAGTTTAAGCAATTCATACCTAATTCCTTGGCATACAAATAATCTTGAACCTATAAACATTATTTCTTTAACTTAGAATATATATATATATATATTAGCTTAAGTTAACAATTAGATCTATTAAAGAGTTATCATCTCCCGATAAATATTATTCCATAAAAACAAATAGAGATCAAACTAATAACATGTTATTACCAAAAAAAAAAAAACTACCAACATGTTCGAGAGACATAATTAAGTGCAATCATACAATACCACGAAAGGAATTAAAGCCCAGGGAAACAAGTTACAAATTTAAGAAAATATATTATTCCATTTTTTAATGTCAAAAAGGCTTATCAAAACAAAGTATGAATAACTAATTTATATCGAACATTAAAAACGGATTTACAAATAGAACACAAAATGAAAACCTAAACTTTACATCACAATTCCAAAGGGCTTATCAAGCCCTAACTAAATACTAGTTATGACTTTTGACTCGATCGAATGTGTATATTTATAATATAATACTGGATGCATGGTTATGGCCCTAAACGGTAATGGCCATCAGCTAAGTAGTGACCATCCATATAGAGAGTTGCGTTCTGTGAATGTAGGCCATCCATAACCATAAATTGCATGTCTTCCGATGGTTTCCAGTGGCGTTTCCTTTGATTTATGAACCAGTTATTTATTTGCTTCTGGTCCAAACCAGTTGCTTCAGCCAGCGCCACCTTCTCTGATTCCTAAGGTTAATTTATAAAAACTAATTTAGAACTGAAGAAATATACTGCATATATATCAAAAATTAAATCTACATACCGAAGGATATGGCCATTTGTAGTGTAATTCCCACCAGCTAAGTAGCTTTTGCCTAGCATCTTTGGGCAGTTTTCCTTTTTTCTTTTTCTTGGAAAGTTCTTGCTTAAGGCTACTTAAGTAACCGCTGTATTTCCTGAGCAAGTGGCTTTTGAGTTCACGGTCTTCCACCTGGGGATCAATCTCGGCCACTTCTGTTTCTCCACCACTGTTCTCGTGAACCTCTTCCG